AATTTTGACCACCACCCATATGAGCTAGGGGGTTTATATAGGGTCTAGGGTTTAGGGATTAGGGTTTAGGGTCTAAACTCCTAAAAGGGGGTTATATAGGGAATTCTACAAGGGATTACTTTAGGGCTTATGAAGGGGGATACCAGGAGTGTAGACTATGGTTCATATAGGTTTTCATAGATGTTACGTAGGAGCAAATAGGGGTATGTAGGGGTACTGGAGAATGAAGTGGAAAGAAGTGGAAGATGAAAAAGGAAGCCAAGTTTATATAGGGGTTCATTAGGTGCCACCCGTGCCTAAGGCGCCCTCATAATGACTAGCCGCGTTGTGTCAGTCAGCAGTACACAGTGGCTGGTAGTTTCATTGTGCCGGCAGTCCCGAAAGTCCGTGCCTCCAAATATAGGGGTTCATCCCCAGCCCCTTGGCAAAAAACACACCCCAAACCCCCTACTGGAGCAATGAATTTCCATGTAGTATAAAGCGGTACTGTGTTGGCAGGAATTTATTATTGAGGGGTTGGGGGCTTCGCTGTTAGGGGGTGGGGATTACCGGTGCCATGGGTGGTGGGGATGTTCAAGGGTTCCAGAATGCGAGAAGTTGCCTTAGGGAGACTGGGGTGGCAGGATCGTCACCCATCTGCAAGACCTTACTGTGTTGTCTCTTGATGCTGACTTCCCTAATGTGGTGATTTCGATTTCATTTTGTCCCTTTGTCCGCTTTTTCTGCCTACATTGAGTGTTTTAGCCGTATGCTGATTTAAATTGGGCGCCGCAAAATGATAGGAACCTCAAAGCTAGGCTCATAATTTGACAGCCCCCGCCGTAAACCTGAAACTCTCAACCCTAAACCCTAAAAAGTTGTTTCCATTTTCTTTTTCCTTATTCCTATGTAACCCCTATCTAAACCCCTATATAACCCGCCCTATAACCTTAAACCAACATCCCTAAACCCTAAACCCTAAATACCCTCTGCATAATCCCTAAACCCTAAACCCTAAATCCCTAAACCCTAAACTGACCTTCCTTGCCTTGTCTTTGAAGCCCCTGCTGCCCTGGGACGAGGCACTGCTCCGAAGTGAAAATGCACCGGAGCGCGCCCAGGGCCCCAGGACCGGTTAATCACATGCCCCACACAGTTTTGGGGCTTAGGGTTTGGGGTTAAGGGTTTGGGGTTAAGGGTTTGGGGTTTAGAGTTTGGGGTTTAGGGTTTGGGGTGTAGGGCCCAACCCCTGATGCATGGATAGATCTTATCACTGCAGACTGCCCGGCACACATTCAAAGTGATTGTGAGGTTTAATAGCAACTTTCATGCTGAAACTCAGCTGCTACACGCTATCATACTAGCAATGACGCGGAGACAGTGAAGGAGAACGCTGATCGATAGTCTCATTCCACTACCTTGCCAGATTGCACCAACTATAATGAAAGTAAGCTCCAAAGCCTGTAACAAAAGTGGTGTGTTTAGAAAAATCCTGGGGTTATACTAAAAAAGATGAACACCTAAGGAAATGGGAGTGTAGGAGATCATGAAGGTACACGTGGTACACTGACGCTCAGATTGGAAGGAGTGCTTCCAAACGGGCTGAAAACGTGGTGCCTTTCTGCAGGGTACAAAAGTTTCTGTATGTACCCTGAACCCATGTACCTGCCCGAGGTTTGGGTCATTTGCCCTCCGAAGCCTCTGATCCAGGGCGAGTACACGCGTCAGCCTGGGGCCTGGTTTAGGGGTTTAGGGGTTTAGGGGTTTAGGGTTTAGGGGTTGCAAGCCAGATGCAAAAGGGTTTAGGGGTTTAGGGGTTTAGGGCTGATGGGTTTAGGGTTTAGGGGTTTAGGGTTGATGGGTTTGGGGGTTTAGGGGTTTAGGGGTTTAGGGTTTGATTATTTTGGGGATTAGATAGGGGCTATAACCGGCTATATATGCGACCAGTCAGTGGTTATATAGGGTTTCTCTACGGGCTTATACAGAGGATGTTATGGGGGTGTCTATGGGATTATATAGGGATAATGGAAAAGAAAATGGAAACTACTATAGTATATCGGGGTTACATAAGGATAATGGAAAAGAAAATGGAAACTATTATTCAGGGGCTACATTTGGGCTTATTTAGGGGTTATATAGGGAGGACCTGCAAACTTTCTGCGAAAAGATCCACCTTGTCTAGTTGGTAGGTAAGGCCAAGCCCGCGTCGGTGCCGAGAGAAACAGAGGGGATAGCAAGAAGAGATACGTTAATGCGGCAAGACAGCTGCGCCGCCAGCAAGAACAAACCAACGTGAAGTGGCTGCGTACTCTTACAACAAGAGCCAGTGGAAGCGACTGCAGAAGAGCAGACATGTATACACATGTGTATAGACATACATTTATGTAATGTACATATATACATATATAGATAGATAGAGATGCGTTGAGTTAGCTGTCCGCACAGACCGCGCGAGTTGGGAATGTATATAAGAGGTACCAGGAGATTGCAAGTGTTTGGGTGGCAGGCCGATCAACTATTGTTGTTAAAGAAGTTTGCTAAGTAACCATCATGGGCCTATATAACAATTCAGATGGCTCCCCTAGCATGGGAACTTCAATGAAGTTCCTTAACAGCAAGCCCAGTCAACTGGCCTTTGGTTAGCTAGGAGAGAAAGAATGGATCCTTATAGTAGTCCCTATATAACCCATTATGGTAGTCTCCGTTTTCTTTTTTCATTCCTTCATTCCCGGCTAACCCAAGGCCAGCCAGGTCCTAAACCCCAAGCCCAAAACCTAAACCCTATAACCCTAATAACCCCCATAAAGGCCTGGGCGAATCGAACGTGGCCATGCTGTTTGGCGTCAAGTGGGCGGCAGCGGCATTCTGCAGCTCGGCTCAATGTATCTCAACGTGGAAGTTCCTCTGCATAGGGGACCGCCAATTTAGACCCCAACATGGTTTAGGTTTTAGGGTTTAGGGTCAGTAGAGACTTCAAAATGCGATCATCTTTCCTATAGGGACCCCATGAAAAGTACCCCTAAATTTGTGCAAGCCCCGCTGTTCTGCCAAATCTTTCTCACAACGCCCTGTGAAAGCAAACTATAACGCTGGATTCTGTGCGGAACCAGAATGCATGTTCGCGACGCCCGATCTGAGGTACAGCAATGGTTTGGGCGGCTTATGGTGCGTGGTATTCAGCCTGCACTAATGTTGCCATGCTTTCCTGCACAACTTTGGGTAAAGAAGGGATATTGATATGGGGTTTGCTGAGGGATTGGGGATCCTATTCTTACCCCAAGTCGTGTTTGTTGTAAGCCTAATGATAAGGACCCTCGCACATTCACACCTATTTCACGGAAACCCACATATGAGTGGTTGTCAAAATTATGGTCCCTTTTTGGGTCCCTATTATAATATGGCCCCTAATATGTAGGGTACCCAAAAGGCACCATAATTTTGACAACCACCCATATCGCTGTGTGCAATTGCATGCTTGGGCCCTCGCAGCAAGAGCCACCTGCAAAAGCAAAGGCAACCAAAGAAGCAGATGTCTGGCTCTTAGATCTTTCTAGGTGTAGGGTTTAGGGTAGAAGTCTGGGCCCTTAATTTGGGCCCTGAGGCCTTTTAGAGGGATTCAAGGGACCTTTCAGGGTACATCGTAGGTATGTAGGGATCTCAGGGTTTAGGGCCCAAACTGGGGGCCCATGGTTTCAACTTTAGAAAGCACCCTAAACCCCTAAACCCTAAGACCCCAAACCCCCAAACCCTAAGCCCTAAACCCAT